ACACTCCTGTACGAGATGAAGTAGTGGACGGGTGGAGCATTTATTTTTGTTTTTTATCTGAGGAATGTTACCTACGCGGGAGTGGAACAAGTTACAGAACTTCATCATTAACTCGAACACGCTGGGTAGCTTCAAATATAGGTTGGACGGATATATGATTGATTTTGGTTTTGCCGCTTACAGCGGCTAGTTTAATGTGCACCCCGCATTCATCCTGTGAGCGGTAGCGCAAAAGGATTACAGAGTATGTTATACAAAGGGTCATAATAATTAAACCCCGTGGTCAGGATATTATGGCACCGAATGTTACACAGTATTTCAATTACATTATTTGTTTAGTTCTATACATAAAGGGTAACTTATTCACAACTGCGTGAGTACAAGAGTGTGAGGCATTATGCCTGGCCGCACACTCTGTTATTCACATTTGCGTGAGAAGTACTCAAACACAAAGTGTGTTTGGTTCTATACATAGGAACTGATATAGTTACTCAGTGCAAAAAAGTGGATACAATCTTAATATGTCGGCTATCTTGCCATTAGAGATGAAGTGTTGCGCCATTTCACAAACAGTGTGCTTGGACCTGTCCCTAAAAGGTTCTATCTTCACACAGTCGAGGACGTAGTGTTCAAGTGTGTGGCCATATGTTTGGCCACACACTTTACATTTAGTCTTGTTTACATCTGCTTGAGGAGCATACTGCCAGAGGTACTTATATCCTAACCTTAATCTAGCGGTTACAACATCTTGTAATCTTGTTACTTGCTCCATATACATGTTTCACTTGATACATCTTATCATGGTAAACTATGGATCGACTAGTGCCTGTTTGCACTTGTCTACGCGTCAAATTCATCAGTAAGTTCTTTCCTAATTACAGTTTTAAGAGTTCCTTTTGACAGACCCAAATTGTATTCAACAGTGTCTTTGTTAGACGCGAGTTTGGCGAGGGCATCAACTCTGTCATGTTCTTTGAGGCCTATTTGAGAGGGGACCCACAACAGTTTGATCATAACGGTCAACAAGGTACGCATATTTGTGTCTGGCTTCAGAGACAAGCGCGTGACAACTTGAGTTGAGGGTGTCAAGAGCAAGTTGTGAGGATAGAGTCAGTGATGATGCGACTGTCAGTGACAGTGGTTTCAATGAATTTAATAGCTGTGAGTATGGCAACTAATTCAGTTTGTAGAGTGGATGCCCAGTTGTTAATTCTAACTCCATTCTCAATTATATTACCGTCATGTTGAGTCACAACAATAGCACTTCCAGCCCTCCCACAGGCGGTGTTAAGAGATCCTTCAGTGTAGATGGTCTGTGTGATGTTATCATCAGTCTATAGAGTGTGTATGTGTTCAAGAGCTCTCACTTTGGCAGTGTGTTGGAGATAAATACTTTGTAGGGAAAAAGAAAGGAGTATATAGAAAAGTTAAGAAAGGCGAAAATCACTTACTTGGTTACTATCAGAACCTAACAAGACAGGTAAAAACAGAAATTAGGAAAGCAAAGAGAAATTATGAAATCAAGGTAGCAAACGAATCGAAAAATAACCCCAAAGCTTTTTATCAACTGTATAAATCAAAGGTTAGAGATACAATAGGTCCCCTTAAAACTACGACAGGAGAAATGAATGATGATGAATTAGAAATGTGTCGTACGTTAAATAGTCATTTTCGCTCCGTATTCACAAATGAAAACCTAGCACAGTTTCCAGAAGTTCATAAGGTATATAACGACAGTATAGAAAATATGTTGATGAATATCAATATTACTAGGAACGATGTGCAAGTAATTAACAAACTGAAGCCTCATAAATCGCCTGGTCCAGACGAGGTATATGCTAGAATATTAAAAGAATGTAGAGATGAGTTGAGTAATCCATTAGCAGTTTTATTTAATAAGTCATTAGAATCGGGCCTAGTGCCAGAAGCTTGGAAACTTGCAAATGTAGTTCGATTTTCAAAGGGTGATAAATCAATAGCATCAAATTACCGTCCCATTAGTCTCACGTCAATCATAGGCAAGTTGCTAGAGTCAATTATTGCTAAAAATCAGAAGCCACCTTGAAACATTCAACAATTCATTCTTCTCAGCACGGGACCACAGGGACGTTCTTGTCTCACAAATTTGTAGCTTTTTCTCAGAAGTATATGAAGCGGTAGATAATGATAAGTCATATGATATACTTTATTTAGATTTCAGTAAAGCATTCGATAGAGTCCCTCATGAGAGATTGATAAGGAAGGTAGAAGCACATGGAATAGGTGGATCAGTATTAAAATGGATTAGGTCATGGTTAACTGGTAGGAAACAAAGAGTCAGCATCAATGGATTAAAGTCAGACTGGGGTGCGGTCAAAAGCGGAGTTCCCCAGGGATCTGTATTAGGCCCTCTGCTGTTTGTTATATTCATTAATGATCTTGATTTAGGCATAACTAGTAGGATTAGTAAATTTGCGGATGATACCAAAATGGGAGAGTGATAAATTCAGACAGTGACTTTGAACACCTTCAAAGAGATCTGAATACCTTACATAATTGGTCAGTAGACTGGCAAATGAATTTTAATACTGATAAATGCAAGGTACTACGGGTGGGAAGACAGAATACAAACGTTGAAGGTATAAGCTTCATTAACACGGAAATAGAAAACTCAGTTTTATGAAAAAGATCTGGAAGTGTATTTGTTAACGACTTGGGAAACCTAGAAAACAATGTATTAGCGTTCGCAACGAGCAAACAAGTTCTTGGGTTCATATCTAGGTCTGTGAGTAACAGAACTGCTGACGTTATCTTGAAACTTTACCTAGCATTAGTGAGGCCACACATGGATTATGCGGTTCAGTTCTGGTGTCTCTTATAGAATGGACATAGATTCTTTGGAGAGAGTAAAGAAGAATGACAAAAATGATCCATAATATTAGAAACCTTCCATATGAAGAAAGACTGAAAGCTTAGGCTTACATTCATTAGAGAGCGTAGAGTTAGGGGAGATATGATAAAGAGGTGTACAAGTGGGTAAATTGGGATTAACAAAGGGTAAAATGGAAGATGTTCTGAAGCTCGTAATAACGAAATAACTAGAACAAATGGCTTTAAATTAGATAAATTCCGATTCAGAAAGGATATGAGCAAGCACTGGTTTGGTGGTAATAGAGTTGTGGATATGTGGAATAGGCTACCGAGTGCTATAGTAGGATCGGGGACGCTAGGGAGCTTCAAGACGAAGTTGGATAGGCACATGGAAGTGCTGGGATGGGTGTGAAAGGGATCTGCCCTGTATGGGCCAGTCGGCCTCCTGCAGTATCCCACTTTCTTATGTTCTTATGTTCTTATGATATTTGGTAACATGTTCCATTCATCCACTACTCTGTTTCCAAACCAGTGTTTACCGGTTTCACGCCTAAATCTAAATTTGTCTAATTTAAAACCATTGTTACGAGTTCGCTCCTGGTTGGATAGTTTGAGTACTCCAGGGTGTTACTGCTATAGCGTCCGGTTTACAAAGTTAGGTTAAGTTAGCAATGTTGTCGGCGAGATTTTAGTTTCTTTATTATCTTGAGGACAAGTTCCTTAAGTGAGGACACACACACATGTATATTTTCAGCCCTCGGGCTGCCATGTTATCTTAATAAACCGTTAATTATTATTATTATTATTTATTAGTACATACACACACACGAACAACACATACATACAAGCAAACACACAAACAAATAATAAACAACTCCTGATTTATGTATTGCACAGCCCTGTAAATGCATTCAACGCATATTATGTCATTATGTCTAATCAAATTAAATCTGTATATTTTCAGCCACCAGCTGCAACTTTATTAATAAACCGTTTATTATTATTATTATTATTATTATTATTATTATTATTACACACACACACATAAACAGCACATAAACACAAGCAAATAACACACACACACACACACACACACACACACACACACACACACACACACACACACACATACACACACATACAAACACACACACACACACAAACAACACATACACACACACATACACACACACACACACACACACACACACACACACACACACACACACACACACACCACATACACACACATACAAAACACACACACACAAACAACACATACACACACACACACATACACACACACACACACACACACACACACACACACACACACACAAACAGCATACACAAAGCAAATAACACACACACCACATACAACACACACACACACACACATACAACACACACACACACACACACACACACACACACACAACACACAAACAAATAACACACACACATAAAAACAGCACATACATACAAGCAAAGACACAAACAAACAACACACACACACACACACAAACACAATCTTCATATAAATGTTTGTTTACGATTTAATTAAGGTACTTGCATGTTAACTACACGACAGCTGCGTCATGGAGTCCGCGGAAACTCAACTTCCCCCGAGTCATAAAATATGTTTTTGCGTTGTATAAAATCACTATATGCACCGTAGAAAATAGTAAACTTCAACATAATTCCTATACTGTTATATCAATTAGATCAACAATACGTAAATTATTTGCAAGATAAAAAAACAAAAACGGTAAGTTTAGAATCACCTCTCTCGTATAGTATTATTGTTGCTTTATCTCATCTGCACAGTGTATTTTAATGCAACTTGATCTAATAAATGCCATATAAATAAAATATACTACAAGCAAGTCTTCCCTCTTCTCTGTCTACCAAGCTAAGAAAACAAACTGGAGGTATCTGACAACTGCAATCTGTTTTCTGAGGGATAGACCAAGTATATCTTTACGTTTTCGTTTAAATCGCAATAATATAATTAGTATTTACATGGTTTTATCTGATGAAGCAAATATTAACCTAGAACGTATTAAAAAAGTCCCATAATAATGGCAACTCAACATATGAACAAATATGACTTGACAACTAACCACGCAGCCGGTGTACCAACCCGCTGGACCCGGGAGTAACCGTACTCAGTTGACGTGTCTTGACGATTCGTAGTACTAATACAGTCAGTTTGCCTGTCGTTGTGGTAGAGTGAGGAGGTTGAACCGACCTTGTGCTTCGTCGCTACTTTACTATTATTTTTTTTCCATATGGAAGACAATAAGAAATTTTCAAGCATTTAAATGTTGTGAAATTCAGAAAGGATGTATTGTAGGGCCAAATGGAATGAGAGTCGTTCTCATTTTCCCTCCAGATCCTAGTTGTGAAACACCTGACAATACCTGGGCAAGTACCTGGTTATTATCTTTGCCCAAGGTGAAAAACAAAAGCAACTACGAGACAACTGTAAAATAAACAATAAAATGAACAGCTGGTGCGTAAAAATTGCGTGAAATGGCGGGCGTGTGATACAACATTGTTTTTTGGGGGGGGGGGGGGGGTACTACTTCTGTTCTGGATGGCACATTCTAATTTTTCCTGCGATTTTACCTATTAATTACACCGCTGTTGCCGCTGCCTATAACGTAGTGTAAGATTGTCAATAGAATTTCCGTCTGTGTTCATCATTTTGCTACATAAACCTGGAATGAGTGACTCGGGCGGGTGTGATAACCTAGTGACACGTACGTGAAGATAGCAACTGGAATCATGTATATAATGTATAAGTTCGCATAATGTTAAAGAAATATTCATAGTACCTCCTTCTTTCCTCACAGCCAAACTGTGGAATGCTCTGCCTTCTTCTGTGTTTCCATGCTCTTACAATGTCTCACTTTAAAAAGCTGTTTTTTTCCGGCATCTTCGTGTAGATTAATACAGTATAACCTTTTTTTCTATATTTTTAATTTCTTTCCGTTCTTTTTTTTTCGCCCCCCAGGCTCCGTTGTGGGTCGTTTGACCTGTGCCCGGGTGGGCTAATTCCCGTAAAAAAAAAAAAAAGTCAGTTTTATATGCCGAGCAATCTGATTAATATTTAAAAAAATATAACTGGTATGAATCGTGTTTATAAAATATGTCTAGGTAGAATCAGTTAATAAGAAATAACCCACGATTCTTTGCCTTTCCATATTCCATAATGTAGGACATGAGGTAGGGGATACGGACAAAAAACCCACCGGACAAAAAACCCACCGGACAAAAACCCCACTGGTAAAAAAAAATTATTTAAAGTTTTCAATAACTTTCTTATAAATCCACTTTGACAATATCTGTTACTAAGACAATGTATGTATGGAACATTATGAAGTGTAGGTTATATGGTAATAAGATAAATTAAAGCTCTATTTAAGTCTCAATATTTACCTCGTGGTAGAAAAAAAAATTCTTACAAATAACAGTCTGAAGAATAGGTTATATGGTAAAAAATATATTTAAGCTCTGTGAGAGTTGGAATCGTGGATTCCAATAGCTGGTGGGCTACTCTCACCCTACTGTATAGATGTGTGGGTACCAAGATATGTGAACACGCCTGACGGCAGGACTCCGTTACCATTCATTGTACCATTTATTCACATGTCTGTATTGCTACATATTATTATACCATGTCTGATATCTATGCCTATGTTCACTTACTATGTCCCGATATACTATGTCTGTACCGCGCTAGTCGAGTAATTAGAGGACCTCATTTATTGTCCTAGTGATGTCTAGCGACTCTCCTTGCCCAGCTAGACAACTTCTCTCAGATCAGCCTCGGCCTACCTACGGCCCGGGGTCCCTTGTGCCCGCTTCTGTATCGGTCGGCTATCACGCCAAGTCTTGTACTACTTATTGAATATATCTACCGCTCGTGCTCTGGAGTTTGAAGAACCTTGTCTAGGGTTGCATTCCACCACACCTACAATAAGGATTGCTATTGAGTGCATCAGAAAGACGCAGCCATTGTGTCCATGCATCTTACACTTGACGCGAGAGGACAATCACTTCAAAAACGAGCAAGACGGGAAACCAGAGACCTTAAAAACGACTCGGAAATCTCTGTTGATTTTAGAGATGGCCGGAATATTGGATGAAATGCTCCGAGGCATTGGTCATAATATACGCTTATGACATGACTATAGTCCAGTATAACCTACACTTCATTTGGTCCATACATCGTCTTAGTAAGAGATATTGTCAAAGTGGATTTGTTAGACATTAATAAAAACTCCAATAGATTTTGTCTTATTTTTTTAACATGGGGTAAATGTTGATGCTTTTAAATTTTTAATTTATTTTTATCATATAAATTGCATTTCATAATGTTCGCTATTATAAATTTTCAAAAGATTTTGTTTTATTTTTTACTATAAAGGGATTTTGTCCGGTAGGGGTGGGGTTTATGCCCGGAGGGGTTTTTGTCTTAGGGGATTTTGTCCGGTGGGGTTTTTGTCATGGACCCAGGGTAGGGCTGGTATGTAGTACGCACGGTGTTGTTGTCTCGGGAGGGAAGCGACCAAATAACAATACTTGCTCGCCAATCGTTCAGGGAAATAAATAACATACCAACGTGATATAAAACACCATGTTATTGATATTGTTTACATGCTTTCGTTTTACAGGTTTAAAATGGGAAATAAATAGAGGTAGCAGAACAAAAAGATAAATTTAAACATCGAGGATTACAAGTAACGTAAACAGTACTATATAATGGGCAGTGCGTCATGTTATTAACAGGGAACACACTGACCTTGCGTCCCCCGTGAGATAACTCCTTTAGCAGCGTCTAGGTCTCTGCAAGCTTCTAAACTGATATGTTCTAATAGTGGAACATTTTTTTTTACTTTTTAGAATTTTCATAACCGATTGCAACGTTACTTTAGAATTTTCATAGTTGATGGCATTGGTATTTTGTTTAGACTCGCAAAATAGTTTTTGCCAATATGTAAAATCGAATATCAATGAAGAAAACAGTAAGTTGAATCATCTTCACAATAAATATAAGTACAAGTATAGTCTATTGATTTTGTTCCTTATGCTAAGGTGAAATAAACTACCCGTATTATCTTGTAAGGACTTATGGTTAGTACATTGTAAACTTGACCTCGTCCCTCACTGACCAGATATCCCTCCTCCTAGAGACAGGCACTTGACATTATTAGGGACCTACCACGCTTTGCCATAAACAGATGAATTGTACCGGGAATCCCCCACACACACACACACTCATCATTCTGTCACTTTATGTAACTTGCTGACAAAACCCATGGCCCTTTAGGCTTTTACGCCCTGAATGCACGAGTCATGAAGGCAAGCATGAACTACGCATGCTTCCCAGGTGGGAGCTGTAAACGCTTTTGCGCTTCACCTTGCACAGGATGTAAGGGGGTGCCCAATAAACTAGCCCCCTCGCGGGAAAATTATAAAAAAACAATCTAAATCGCAAACTTGAAAGTAACGCAGGGGGTCATTTCCAGATTTTGCTGGACCATTATGTGCAAAGAGTAGGGGTCAAAATCCATGCTCCACCGTTGTGCCGCCGGGTGGTACTGTTACAGACGGAACACGTTCCAACACGTTTTATATTTTCAATTTGCATCTGCCCGGTGTGGACCGTGTGGTGGCTGCTAGCAATATGACTGACTTCCTTGCTGCTATTCTGTTTATAAATGATAGGCAATGGGAACGATGAAAATAAATGAATACTTATCAATTTGTTTAATTATGCATAGCAAAAATACCATTGAGATGGTCTCTCCAAATCCACTTACAAGAAAAAGGAATACAGCCCTTCGGAGGGGCAAGCTAGGTCATGGGGGGAGTGCCCCCCAATGACGCCCCTGGATGCCGGTGAATTTCAGTACTTTATTTATTATACTGTACCGGGTTGTGGCGGAAGAGGGAATACACTACTCAATTCCTGTCCTTCGGGGTGTAAGCGGCCGAGAGCAATAGTTCTACTCACGACATAGAAAGTACACGACACTAGTTAATTTATCAGATATCTATCAATAGTAAGTCACGGGCTCGGGTCCAGGCCCAAGACGCAAGTGGGAAGCGTATTATTGTATCAAACGTTTCGGGTTTCCTCCAGGTTCATAACAAAGTGAAATGAAAAATTAAATTAAAAATGAGAAAATATATGTCAGTTCTGGTCTGTGCTGCAAGAGTTTCGTTTTATATGAAAACTGAACCGCGAAAACCATATAAACGTTTTGGGGGGGGGGGTAATTTTTTTCTTCAAATAGTACTCATCAGTGCCATCCAGAAGCAAATCGGCTGAATATTTAAAGATTTTTTAATATGTTGATAGTTTATATTAAGTCCTTAGTGGTCATTAAGACTACTTACTCATCACACGCACCAATCCAAATATTCAGTTATTCGTTGATTTTAAGAAGCGCCACGTTGATAAACACATAATACCGTGACAAATGAATATTTTTATTTTTATTTTAGCAGAAACTAAATTAATATTCGAGAAATGCCCCAATAGTTAAAATAAAAAACACCTAGATTTGACTTCATAGAAATTGTGAGGCTGTAAGGAAGGGCATCAGCCTAGTGAGTGACTGACCATGCTGATAAACTTACCAACGGTAGTACGATACTGGAGGACCGTGGTGGTGGTGCTCACGCCACTCATATTCTGCTTCATCCCTTTGGTCTGGAATATAACGGTAAGTTGACCTACTGTGTAAACTAGAACAGGACTAATAAATTATCCCATCACACATTTTGTTTGACCGCTGATTTGACCATTTGTCGATTTTTTATACTGTGTATTTTTGTAATTTTATCTTTATAGTGAAATTAACTTATACCTGTAGTAATTGTCCTTCTTTTAGTATAATTGGAATCACACATAAAGTAGGCTTGTCTTGAAACCTTCATCACATCAATTCAAAAAGTACGGCTGTGTGCTCGTGTCTTTATGCCGTGCGAAGATTGTATCGTGCTGAAAATTAATTACTCCCTGCATTTGAGCACACTACAGATTCGCGACCAAACACCGGTAAAGTCTATGGAAAATTCACATATTGATCGTGTTCATGCGGGATTCTTCTTGTGTGTATGTTCAATTGTTCATCATCTTCATGCCACATTTCAGCTCTAGCTTCAAAACTGTACTCCATCCCCTTATTTGCCATTTGTCAGTATAAATGGGGCATTACTGGGCATATGCGGGCTTGACCCTGGGAGATTGTTATCTTGCATCAGTGCACCCGTTACTGAATTTAGAAGACGAATTATAATTTAATACGGTATCACTTGACATCATTGAGAACTTCGTCCAGCTGTCGCGAAGGTAGCTCACTTTTATTTTAAACCTATTAATAGATGCGACATTTTTAAAACAATCTCACACAAGTAAACAAAGTACACGAGGTTTGGTGATGTTCAGCTTCTCACCATTAAAAAACAAAACAATATCATTGCTTCTGGCGCTATAATTTTGTTTCGCTTTAACACGAGAGATGATTTCCCGCCACAAGTACAAGGTCCGGTAAGTGCGTTCGTGCACTGTAGGTAAACACAAGGTTCATTACAACTTGGATAAACATTGTGAGTGGCTATAGTGGCGGCATCAGGGTTACAAGCCATAATGATGCCACACTGAGTCCTTAATACTCATCCAATACGTACTTCCAAATACCTGTAGATTGACAGTATGTAAACAGTACGAATGAGAGTAGTATTTAAATTATGGTACCAGTGTGTAATATGATTATTGACTGACCACTTATTTTACCTACATATAGTGTATGCTTATAAATAATCGTACCCGAGGGATAAGTACGCAGCCACCTTTTACTGCATTGTGAAAATGAGGTCAAGTGAGACTCGGCACACCGTCCACAGCTGCACATGTTTCATAAGAAAGGTAACAAGACATACGGCCACCAAATAAACTCATCCGGCTGGGCTGTAATTTTTTGTTTGTTGAATTATATCTCACTTCATTATTTAAATTACAAAATTATTGGTAGCAGCATATATACGTACATCTTTACATTATCTTAATTTTGGCAACTATTATGCACCATTTTTTTATATTCATCGAGCCTGGGAAGATATTGGAAGCATAATGCACTGTCTAATGGTAGACAGTTGCCATATGGCATCACAAAATTTGTGACTAAGTCCCAGGTTGCTGATCTATCTGTCTTTCTGTCTCATTTACACACAATTGCTTCTCTTACTTTGACAATACAGCATACATATATCGTTTCCCACTATTAATCTTTTTTTTTCTTTCTTTTTTAATGTATGGGCCTTTATTATTATTATATTACATTATATTATAATTTATTGTATTATATTATATTTTTTATTTTTTATTCATTTTATATTATTATTATTATTATTATAATTTCGCCCCCCAGGCCCTAATGTGGGTGTTTGACTTGTGTCCTGGTGGGCTAATCCCGTATAAAAAAAGAAAAAAGAAAAAAAGATTCGTTCATGGTCTCCGTGCGGTATGTCGGGAATAACGAGGTGTGTTCAGGATGTGGCGGGAGGATGGGGGCAGCGTTCAGAGAGGTACTTGGGTAATTCTGATGACGTCATGGTAATATGTTCATTTCTTTTTATCAGCTCGTTGTAAACTACATAATCACACCATGTGGTAGTTACATCATAAAGTGTTGAGTGCTGTAATCTTATAATACTGTCAGCTCTATTGTCATGTTAGAACTAATCATGGTCTTGGTTTTTGGATTGTCTGAGGGGATTTATCACCCAGTTATAATATAAACGTTTAGACAGCAGTCACGTATATAGTCAGTTAACACTCAAATAGCAGTCACGTATATAGTCAGTTATCACTCAGCCAGTTGTGCAATGAATTTTAATTAATTTTCAACCCGAATTTTCATACTTTTATTGGTAAATAAGGAAACAGAGTGGCCTTTTATTTTGTGGTGAATAAACTACTACTACTAATAATAATTAAATTAAGGCAATTTGGCCGAGGATAGCACACAAAACCATGATATGCGTATTTCCGGTAGGGTCCTTTAGTTTATATTGTAGCGTACTGTATGTGGCCAGTTGTCAATTCTCTTTAGCTGTCTATTATCTCTTTGTATGGGCACACAAATGTACGTACATGTAGATATCTCACACTCAGGAATGAGGTAGGATAGAAACTCACAATGCGCTTTCTGTATATATATTGTTGTACAGCGCAGTGCTTAGGAGTGACTAGGTAAGGAGAAACCATGAACGGTTACGAGTTTGATTACGTGGCGCGGATACGAAGGATACGCCGACCTGCCCCAAGAAACTAAACCTCCTAGTTCTCCAGAAGTTCTTTGAAACTAATGGGATCGTGGGGGTCACCAAGGTGGAACGTCTAAAGCTCCATGGTGACATCAAGATCACCTTCGTCGAGAAGGGCATGCCCGTACAACTCGCGGAGATCCCAGACATCAACGGCATTCCATTTAAAATGATTGCCTACATGTGGGACAACTTGAAGCTGGGAGTAATCTCCCACGCCGAAATTGCCCACATGGACCAAGCAGAGCTGAGTGAGCTCCTCAAGGGGCAACTTCAAGTTGTGAAGAAGCTGTCCGACACCACTGCCCTCTTCGGACACCACTCCACCTTACCCAAGGAGGCTCAACTGGCGTGGGTAACTGTGCCAGTCAAGCCCTACTGCAGACCGAAACGGTGTTACAAATGCCAGCACTATGGACACACTGTAAACAAGTGTGAGGCGCAGGAGGACACCTGCTCCATGTGTGGCAGCCCTGGACACCGCTACACGGTCTGCCCCAACAGAGTAAAAAAATGCGCTGCTTGTGGTGGCCCACACTCCTCCGCCGATCGGACCTGCCCCAAATGGAAGGAGGAATGCAGGGTAGCCAAGGCTCGTCTTGAGAAGAAACTGAGCTACAAAGAGGCCCTCCTTGCTGTATGCTCCCAAGAAAAGAAAAAACCAGCAGAAAAGAAAAACCAAGAAAAGAAAACTCAAGAGAAGACGCCCACCACACAGAACCAAGAACACCACGTGGCCCGTGGAGCTGAAGCCCACGTGGTCAACCTCACCGTCTCTGACTTCTTCCACACCTATGAGGACTTAATACACGAGGAAGACGAACAACAAGACCCAAACACAAACGAATGGACACTTCAAGAGAGCAAGAAGAGGAGGAGAGTGAGAAGAAAATCGACATCAAGCTAAGAAGACCAAGACATCTCCTCCACACAAGAAACCAACACACTCAATCAAGCCGACCAAGCACTGTATATCCATTGCCCAACCCAACAAGCACCTGACGCTAGCCGGGCTCTGTCTTAACATAAGAACATAAGAACATAAGAATGGAGGAAACTGCAGCGGGCCTATTGGCCCATACTGGGCAGTCCCATTTACACCCAACCCCTATTGCTCATATGAGCATCCAACCTATGTTTGAAGCTATCCAGTGTATTCGAGTTAATGATGATATTTGGTAACTTGTTCCATTCATCCACTATATTTCCAAACCAATGTTTACCTATTTCCCGCCTAAATCTAAATTTGTCTAATTTAAAACCATTGTTACGAGTTCGCTCCTGGTTGGATAGTTTGAGTACCTTTGTAATGTCCCCTTTGTTTAGCCCTGACTTCCATTTATATACCTCTATCATATCGCCCCTCACTCTACGTCTCTCGAGGGAGTGCAAATTAAGATGCTTTAACCTGTCTCTGTACTCAAGGTTCCTAATGCCCGGGATTAGCCTTGTCATTCTCCTCTGAATTCTTTCCAAGGATTGTATATCCATTCTGTAATAAGGTGACCAGAATTGAACTGCGTAATCCAAGTGAGGTCTCACAAGCGCAAGATATAGTTTTAGGATGACCTCGCTAGTCTTGTAACTAACACTCCTTTGTATGAACCCAAGTACTTTATTAGCCTTGTTTCGAGCAAATACATATTGTTTACTTGGCTTAAGGTTCCTAAATCTCTCTCGCAGTCGGATTTCTCAATGGCATCGTTGTTCATCTGGTAACTGGTTTCCCTGTTTACATCTCCTATTCTGAGTACTTTACATTTGTCCACGTTGAATTTCATCAGCCATTTTCCAGACCCTTCGAAAAATTTGTTTAGATCTTCCTGTAGTTTTGTGGAGTCCTCATCAGATTTAATAACACGTCCTATTTTGGTGTCATCCGCAAATTTACTTATGTTGCTATCTATGCCAATATCTATGTCGTTTATGTATATAATAAATAATAATGGTCCAAGTACTGAGCCTTGGGGAACTCCACTGTTGACTTGCTCCAATGGGATTTAGTGCCGTTAATGCTCACTCGCTGTTTCCTGTCCTGTAACTACGCCCTAATCCATTTAAGGATATTACATTTGATTCCATGTGCTTCTACCTTTATAATTAGTCTTTCGTGGGGGACTCTGTCGAAGGCTTTGCTAAAGTCGAGATATACCACATCATAATTGTGCCCCTCATCCACCGATTCGAAAACTGATGAAAAGAATGTTAATAGATTAGACAAGAAAGCCAGCTTGTGAAGCCATGCTGGGAATCATTGATCAATCGGTGCTTCTCCAGGTGATTTTGAATAGAGTTTGAGATGATTGCTTCCAGTAATTTGCCTACTATTGATGTTAGACTGATTGGGCGGTAGTTAGAGGATAGTGATCTATCCCCCTTCTTGAAAATCGGTATT